AGAAAATAGTATGTGCTTCATTGATTCATCTTTATGTACCTTAAAAACATACACAGAAAGGGGAAAATATTTTACAGTAGATAAAAAAGTAAACTTTAAGTATACTTCGACAGACTAGATTATGAACTAGAAGTACCCCACACTAGAAGCTGTCCTCCAACCAGCCGGTCGAGGCAGATGGTCTCCTGTCCTGAGCCTGGTTCTGCTGGAGGTTTCTTCCTGATTAGCAGGGAGTTTTTCCTCTCCACRGTTTGCTCAGGATGGGAGACTGATGAAGTGATTCAACACAATCTGATGGTTTCTTCTTTAGATTGTTCTTTTTTCATGTACAGTGCCCTGAGACAACATATGTTGTGACTTGGCGGTATATAAATAAATTGAATTGAATTGAATTATATAGGAAAGTATACTAAAAGTATACTTTTTATAAACTAAAACTGTCCCAAACTAGTCCGAAAGCATATTACATCAATATACTTATCGTGTACTACAAGTACATTGTGCGAAGTATACTTGATATACTTATACTTATACTCAAGTATACTAAATAAAGTATACTTCCTTTTGCTTAGGGACTAGTAGCAGAGTGCTGGTTGGATCAAATAATACATAACTGCTTAAAGAGCAGTTATGGTGTTCCATGAAGTATTACTGTTGCTGGTAATTTGATCATGGTAGTGGTTGCAATTTGTCCCCCTAATGTCTGATTGTTCTACTGACTGATTATTGATCAGCCAATTAATTAGTGGTTTGTTGACTGAATATTTATCTTCTGACTAATTATTGACTTAATATTGGACAGCTTAGTGACTGATTATTCATCTAATTTATTGATTTGACTGACTGAATGAGAGTTATTTGAATATTAAAGAATCAACTGAGTGATGTTATCCATTAGATCACTGATTAGAACAGCCAGCAGGAACCAGCTGTACGATGGACCAGGGTCTATGGGGTGCCGTTTGTAAAGTTACACAGTCAAAAATTACCACCAATATTTTTGTTTTATTTAGCCTTTTATAAGAAAAAAACAGATTTATTTTTCAAAGTCGGTTTTTCACCAAGTGATTCATACATTTATAAATGTCATAGTTTATAAACTAAATGTTTAACTTACAAATTAAATATTTAGTTAACAAGC